TGTCTTCTGTGCAAAAAACTGAGCTGGGAAAAGGGAACATTCAATGAGAGCCTACTCGGAGCCAGGCCCTGTGCTTTCTTCTACATTGTTTCATTGACTCTTCAAGAAACCATTTGAGGAGTGACTGTCCCCATTTGCAGGTGAGGAAAAGGAGACACACAGAGGTTAATATGCCCGCATTCTTTCAGAGGGCCAGCATTCAAATGCAGGTCTGTCTGACCCCAGATCTGTGCTGCTCCTGTTACACTCAGTCTTTTCTGTTCTGATTAATACTGCTGTCACCAAGGGAAAGGAGAGGCACTTGGGGCCCCCAGCAGAGTGGATACCATGAAAGATATTCATATCTGAGGTGGGAGGTTACAATGCCTGTTATAAAGGCTAGTTTCGGTTCTAAGTGAAAAAAAATAAAACCAATTTTGCATTCTCAGAAGAGTTCTGGTTTCTGGGAGGATTATCTCTTGACTGGAGGTGGCAGCTGTCACTTCCTTCAGAGTGTAGAAAATACGATTTAACTGTGAGGCAACTTCTCTTCGCAAAGAATGTCAGTAGTAGTTAAAACAAACAAACAAGCAAAACACTAAACCCATTGCCGTCGAATGGATTCTGACTCATATTGACCCTATAGGACAGAGTAGAACTGCCCCATAGGGTTTCCAAGAAGTGCCTGGTGGATTCGAACTGCCGACCTTTTGGTTAGCAGCCGTAGCTCTTAACCACTGTGCCACCAGGGCTCCTTTACCGCAGAGGGAGGGAACATTAGAATAGATAGGGAGCAGTACAAAGCTGGGCAGGAGAAAAGAGGGAGATGTTGGGTGACTGAACTGAAATGCTGCCTTGGCATGCGGCTGTCTTCAAGTCTGTAGAGCCTTTCTTTTCAGGTACTTGACATATGGGATTATAGGAGAAATAAGTTCACTAAAGAACTGAGAAAGTAAATAGTTGTGGAGAACTTGGTCAATATGTACAACAGTTTCTCCTCAAACAGAGAACCTGAAACTTGAACCTAAAACCGGGGAAAAGGTTTATACTTGCTACCTGAACTGGGTTAAGAGTTAATTTCTCATCTGAAAACACTACACATTAGCTATTCTAAGCCGTGAATCAAATTTGCAGTAACAGACCTGGCAATTAATCACCTAGTGTTTGTGTCTTTAAAAATGATGTATTACAGCATCACCAGGTGGCTGCCAGCAATGTGAGTGAGACAGGCTGAGGTCCACCAGGGGCAGCTGCTCTTGATTTTATTTGTGTGTATCAGGGCTGACCACATCAACACTCAATTTGTTGTTGTTAGGTGCCGTCGAGTGGATTCTGACTCATGGTGACCCTATGTACAACAGAACGAAGCACTGCCAGGTCCTGCACCATCCTCACAGTCGTTCTTATGCTTGAGCCCATTGTGTGCAGCCACTGTGTCAGTGCATCTCCTGGAGGGTCTTCTCTTTTTAACTGACCCTCTACCAAGCATGATGTCCTCCTCCAGGGCTGGTCCCTTCTGATAACATGTCCAAAGTACATGAGACAAAGTCTCGCCATTCTGGCTGTACTTCTTCCAAGACAGATTTGTTCGTTCTTCTGGCAGTCCATGGTATATTCAGTATTCTTTGCCAACACCATAGTTCAAAGGTGTCAACTCTTCTTCCATCTTCCTTATTCATTGTCCAGCTTTCGTATGCATATGAGGCGGTTGACAATACCATGGCTTGGATCAGGCGCACCATAGTCCTCAAGGTGACATCTTTGCTTTTTAACCCTTTAAAGAGGTCTTTTGCAGCAGACTTCAGTTTAGTGAAGGGCAAAGAAGGGAGACTATTGCATGTTTTTCTAAGAAGTCTGGCAAAAACAAACAAAAAAACAAACCCTCAGAAACCCTCAAAGAAACCCACCGTGGCTTACTTTTGACATATAAATTACCTGAAACCTGTAGACAATTTTTAGTGGGTAACGGTGCTACCGGTTCATAGGTTCTGGTGTCCTCGTTCTGGCTATTATTTTTGGTGTTCATAAAAGGGCAGAGGATACCATAGGCCCATAGGTCAGTTTTGGCTTAATATTGCACTTGACTGTGGTCTAGCTCAGTGCTCTAACATGTAATACATCCGTGGTGTAGTGGGAAAGAATGCTGGTGACCTGAATTCCATTTTAGGGTTTCTTTTTAGGCAAGTGGCTTCTTTTTTCTGGCCCTCAGTTTTCATGTCTGTGAAATGAGTAAATTGTACCAAATGATTTCTAGAAATTCTTTACTATGTGTACAGGTGTTTGGGTGAATGTTTTTTTAATTTGGAAAGGAATAAATTTGTTGTTAAACATTTGAAACTAAATCTAGAAGATGAAGGAGGAAAGCTATATTTAGTGTAGACATTTACATTTGTTAAATTAAACTCTACATTATGATATTGATGATGAGAACTAGAGTGAGACAATCTTCACTGTTCTTCCCTAGCTCTAATATGGCACAGATGGGATAGTAAAGTCCATGTGCAGCCTCGCAGAAAGTATCTGATTAGACATAAAATGTTAGAACAAAAAATCTGCTAACTAAATTGAGCTATCAACTTGTTTTAGGCAGCACAGAGAATAAAAACACAACAAAATGCAGCTTCTAAAACACGTGAAATATGAAATGCTTTTTCCTAACTTATTGGTTCTGGTCCCACCTGGGTTTAGAAGAAAAGAGAGAAATAGCTCCTTTCTGTGTGTTAAGTAAAATTTTAAACATTTTCAGATCAAAATGAAATTTGAAGAGCTCTCAGTAACAAGCGTTGGTTTGTTCTCTTGTATTCTAAACATTGTTTAATAAAATAAGCCATCCTTAGTGAATCTAAATATTATAAATTATAATTAGTAAGTATAGGACACTTTAATTGATTTTATTTTTTTGTGTTAGTTGGAAAAGCTGATTTGAAAAAAGCATAACCCAAATTTAATTCCAGCTTTTAACTATACAGCTAATTTAGGAAATATCAAGACCTGATTGTAGAGATGGTAAGAGTATTACTCTCATGTACCTTGTTTTTCCCTTTTTTAAAAAAAAGAGTGAATTCATTATTTTTAAAAAATTATCCATGAATGAGGACTGATTCCATAGGGTGATTCCTCCCACCTATTAAAACAAATCGGTATGTACATTTGCTGGCACTCCCCTTGGTTTAGTCTGCCTTCCTCCATATGTGTTGTTATCGGCATATTAAGGTATGTGTATTAGCTGTGCAGTGTTCAGCTCTTAGAAACACAGCCACATATTGCTATGCCACCTGCTTGAAGTTTGGAAAATTAGCTCTGAATGCAGTGTAGACTTTGATGCAGACTTTTCTTTCCCTGAAACATTTACATGGAAGCGGAATCTTTGATTTTAATAACTCATCTGTTCCTCGGGCTTATTTCCCACTGAACTTGTCATAATGCTCCATGAAGGACATTGCAGCTGGTTGCTGTGAAATTGATTGACGCTAAATAAAAGGTTATGACTTCAGGTAGAAATTAAGCAGATTTCTTAAGGAGACAGTATAAACTCAGTTTTTCGAATATTGATGCAGACCTTCTGTTAATAATTTAACAGTAACAGTTCTGATTTTGGTGAAAAAAATGTTTAAAAAGTTAATTTCACAATGTGCCTTATATCAAGAGCTTAAATTTATTTTAAATTTTTTTCCTTAAAAAAAAAATCTTTTCATTTTTCAGAGGACCAATTCTTCCTAATAACCACATGGTAAGAAAACTTTACCAATGAAACGAACACATGTGTGCGTGCGCACACACACACGCACGCACGCACACACGCGCACGCACACACCCACACACACACACGCACGCACACACACACATTTTCTATATTATTGTATATTTTTCCTAGCAGTCTTCTGGACTAAATCACTTGCCCATACTTTTATGTTGAGCAAAAACTATGTTTCCAAATGTATAATCTTTAGCTCTGGAATTTAAATTTTAACTTCTAGTTTTCAGTGCCCTGCTAATTGTGAGTTTGAGGAATATTTTATGTGTTCATCTTAGTATGTGTTGAAAAAGAGTTTGTGGCCATTTTTCTGTATATTCTTCTAAGATAACTCAATTAATGGCATGTCATTTTACTTCTCTAAGCTCATTTTCCACATCTGTATAAAATGAAGGTTGTGGGTATAGGCGTGAGAGGTGGGAGTTTGAGTTAGAAAAATTTCTCTTGTGTTTTCCAATTCTAGATACTGTATGACATTGTGGAAGTGAAACACTTTATGGTTCCATGTCTATATTTATTTGTTCATCATTGACTTAGCTTTCACTGTAAGGGATTTTGTATTGGTTCTGCTACCACGCTGCACATAGATTTCTGAAAGAAGATTTAGTTATATTCTAAAATATTTAATTTGCTTGGCTATTACACGTTTAACATTTGCCAGACATGTCTTTGTCAAACAAGAATTTGTGTTGGCTTTTAAGAATGTGAACAAGGCTGAATATAAATGTAAGTAGAGTCATTTTCAGTATCTGTTCTTTTATTTCATTAGTTGAATTAATGTCTAAGCATTTGGCCTAAGGAATATATGTAGTGGTTCAATTTCTTTAAATGGTTTGGCCTTCATCCTCTTTCTTTACCTTAAAATAAGTACAAAATAATTATGGATTAATGAAGATTCTTACAATCTTCTATCTCCTATGAAGTACTTAAGCAATAGAATTAATGAAGCTGTCATTCTTCCTCTTCTGCTTGCTCTTTTCTAGACATTGGTTGGGTAAGAATTTTGTTCTCTCCTACTATCTAATCTAATCACAGTAAGTTTTCTGTCTGTAAAGCAAAAAAGCCATTGACTTAAATTGTGTCACCATTACTTTCATAATCAAGTGATGATATACCCTAATAAATACAAGGCCCTTAGAAATCCTTACATAAAGGGAAGCAGCAAAAGTGCTAGATTTAATCTAGTATCTCATGGAGAAAATTGACCGAATGGGTATTGGTTTTGCTCTTTTCATCGTACTGTTGTATCATTGTATCATTTATGTAGATATCCTTGGAACAGAGGATCTTATTGCAGAAGTGACTTCCAGTGATGCTGTGCGATTTTATCCCTGGACCATTGATAATAAGTACTATTCAGCAGATATCAATCTGTGTGTGGTACCAAACAAATTTCTCGTCACTGCAGAGATTGCAGAGTCTGTCCAAGCATTTGTGGTTTACTTTGACAGCACACAAGTAAGACTTTGTTTTTTATGGAGCCTTGAATATGCCTTCCCTCCCCACCACCCCACGAATTCTCTGTGGGTTGTCTTAATGCCTCTTTTGCTGTTTTTGTTTGTATGTACATTTGTTTTTCCTCCCTCTAGAAATCTGGTCTGGATAGTGTCTCATCGTGGCTTCCATTGGCAGAAGCATGGTTACCTGAGGTGATGATCTTGGTCTGTGATAGAGTGTCTGAAAACGGTAAGGTACTTAGATGGGACAGTAGTTGGTACATCCATTTGCCATTCCTTGATAAACAGAACCGTTTGCTTCCTTAACTTAGAACAATACCTGTCATGTGCTAAACTTTATTACTTTACCAAAATATTTCAGCTACTTCTCTTTGGAATCGTGCAATATATTTTTTTTTTTTTTTTTAAAGAATGGACACTGTGCGGTTGAGAAATAATTTTCTCTGTATTACTTTATTTTAAATGCCTTTTAAGAGAAATACATTGAGATTTGTGGGGAGTATTGCAGAGATATTGATGTTTCATTTTCTTTTTATTTATAAACATTCTTTTGGGTATCATCTTAGGCGTAAACCGACAGAAAGCACAGGAATGGTGCATCAAACATGGCTTCGAATTGGTAGAACTTAGTCCAGAGGAGTTGCCTGAGGAGGATGGTAAGTGTGTGTCAGTAGAAAGTGTGGCATTTGGATTCAGATATGAGAGATTGTTTTAGAAAGAAGAATCACAGTAAAATTAAAAAAGCATTGTTCATCCCCCCTGCCCCATACACATGCACAGCTGTGAAAAGATGAGAGAAAAATCCATTGATGTCGTCCTGTCATCACTTTGTTCATCCATTCATTTGGTCTTACCACACATTCTAGGACTTGTTCCTTTTTCTTATGGATGAAGGTAGAGGACTTCTGCCTTAAATCTTTGTCATTTCCTTAACCCTTATCCTTTCCCCACTGTTCTTCAGGTTACCCAGGCCAGGCCGTTAGAGACAGGTTCTGTGTGAACTGTGTTCTGTAAAATCTCAGGAGACTTTTCTTTTTCAACCATGTGAAAACTGTATCTGCTGTTATTTTCCATATGTAGTCTTATAATCCTCAATACCTGAAGGATTTCCATTTCCTTATACATAATCATACCTTCATTGTAGCTAAGAATGCCACTTTATTATTGCTATGCTACTTGAGATTACTACCCTGTTATTCTGAGTATCAGTCAAATTCCAGAAGCAGGGCAATACCAATATTTTGTTTATTATTTTTTTTTATGACCCTTTCCCTGCCTCTTGGAGTCCTGGTGGTACAGTGGTTAAAGCACTTGACTGCTGATCGAGAGGTCAGTAATTCAAAACTACCAGTGGCTCCGTGGGAGAAAGAGGTGGCAATCTACTTCTGTAAAAATTTACAACCTTGGAAACCCTATAGGGCAGTTCTCCCCTGTCCTATAGGATTGCTGTGAGTCGGGATCAACTCGATGGCAGTGGATTTTTTTTTTTTGGTTCCCTGCCTCTTATTACACTTACGCAGTAATTTCACTTCTCACTCTTAGACTAGCTGTGATCAAAGAAGTTCTGTGGATATCTGTCATAAATAATAGTCATTATTCTGTGGTTCCCAGGAAAAGATAGGGCATTTATAGGATTTTATAATAACTAAGAAGACCATTTCTGCCTTCAGGAAATTCGTTCTCTATAGATAACCAAGATTGGTATCTCTTTGGCTCTGCTGGTATTGTATAAAGGAAACTTACATTTTTGGGAGAATATGAATGGATTCCACTGGTGAGGCAGGGGGGTGACTTTATGATATAAGCCTCTTTATTGTGTATTTATTTCATTGCTTTAGTTTCTGGAATGTTTTTATTAGACACTCTAAGCTCTGTATTTATTTTTCTCCTTAATACGTACATTGCGGTATAAAGTAACAACTAAATGAACAAGATAATTAAGCCACAGTTATTTGAAACTATGGCTTGGGGGATATATTTATACATATAGATGAATGTATTAGTATGTATGTATAAGTGTGTGTAAATATGTATTTTTTCCCTCCCTGATTAGATGACTTTCCAGAATCTACAGGAGTGAAGCGAATTGTGCAAGCCTTGAATGCGAATGTCTGGTCCAATGTGGTGATGAAGAATGGTTAGTAACTTGGGACTGAAAGTTATTTTTTTCTTGTTCCTTGTAAGTTTTCAATTATTCTGATATATGTGAAGCTATTAGGATTATGTGCAATCTGTAGATTTGTTCTGATTCTTGACTCCCCAGGCATTTCTAGGAATTTTGAATATATGTTTAGTAGTTAATTTAGTAAGAACTTATAGCATGCCTATAATGTGCCTAGCATTGTCTTTGGCTTTGAGAAATGTCCTCAAGTAAGACGTGAACCCTGTCCTTAGGAGCTCATAATCCAGCTGTGGAATCCACGTGTGCACTTTAAAATGCCAGGTAACAATGCCAGGCCATCTGTGATGAGTGAAGAATGACTGATACAGGCAGGAGGTGCATAGAGGTCAGAGTTGTGGCTGTTGCTGTGGGCTTGAGTGGATAGAGATTCAAGGAGAAAGTGAGTGTTGATGGTAGTCTTCCTGGGATGGTTAAGTTTTAGGTTGATGAAGGCGAGGGTTATAAACCGTGGAGGAAACTTGGCATCAAGAAAATGGTTGTATCAAATTGACAAAAGCAACTCAAAAGATTAGATAAGAACCTTAGGGGGCAGTGAGTTTGTGTTAGTGGGGGAGGAACAACTCAGAAAAGGAGAGTGAGAATGGTTGCACAACTTGAAGAATATATGTTTAGAAACTGTTGAATTGGTGTGTTTTACTGTGTATATTCTCAACAACAGCAACAAAACAAATAACATTATTAAAAAAAAAAAAAAAGGATTGTTGTATGTTCTAGGTCACTAGAAGGACCTCTCTGAGTAGTAGAAACTGGCTTACAGAGAGCCCTGAATGCTAGGCAGGAGAATCTGGGCTTTTTCCCATAGGAGTTGGTGAGTCACTGGAAAATTTTTAACAAGGGATGGATGCAAAGAAATTGGCATCTTCGGAAGGTTAATGTGATGGGGGTGTGCAGAGTGGTTTGGCATATAAAGGAGGTGGAGTTAGAGTCTCAAGTCAGGGAGACCAGGCAGCTGTACAGTAGCTCAGGAGTGAGGTGTTGGGGCCTAGGCCAGTGTGGTGGTACTGGCCATCGGGGGGCGGGCTGGATATGAAATGTCATCTGAAGGGGGTAGGCTAGTTGCACACACTGGAATTACTACGTGTTTACTTGTTTTTCCATGTAGTGCTTGGCTGCCGCAACAAGTATGCTATGCTAGGTGGAACACTACAGAAGGGAATGAAAAACTTCTTCCTTTACCCCATCTTCCCTGAGATAAAGGGTCAAATGGGAGACTGGTTTTATAGAAATAGAGTATTTCATCTCAAATTTTGATAGACACTTGAGTGTCTCATGAGATTAGGCCCTTTTAGTCTGCCTGCGGTCTGATCTAACACTCGTCATCATTGGAGATGTCCCTTCTGGCATTGGGCCCCCCTTCTTCCCCTCCCCCCTTCTTTTTCCTTTCCCTTTCTTTCTTTCTAAACCCAGTTGCTGTCAACTCATGGCAATCCCATGTGTATCAGAGTAGAACTGTGCTCCATAGAGTTTTCAGTGGCTGACTTTTTTGGAAGTAAATTGCCGGACCTTTCTTTGGAGGCACCTCTGGGTGGACTCGACGGCAGCGGGTTTGGTTTTTGCTTCTTGGTTTGTCTGGGTGGACTTGAACCTCCAAACTTGCAGGTAGCAGCCAAGTGTGTTAACGATTTGCACCATTCAGGGACTCTTCTTTCTTTCTAGGGGGAATCTGATTTGTCTGTTACATTGAATTGCCAAAATACTAGGTCTTATATTGCTATAGCAATCAAAATAAGGCCGTAATAGGAGATCTAGAAGGAGTAAGGAGATTTTAGCCTTGTGGTCATCTCCTTATTATTAAAACAAACTCAGAATTAAGGCTTGGTCCTTGCTCATTCATTTATTCAGCAAATCCTGTTGAACCTTTGCCATGGTGAGGCATTGCTCTAGACTTTCTAAACTATAAAAACAAGTTTAAGATATGGTACGTAAACTGGATCCAGTTAGAATAAAATTATATTCAGTGGTGCTTGTTGTATTTATGAGAATTATTCTCAGGAAAGCTTATTTGGCTTCAGTCACTTTTTGAAAAATCTGTCATATACTAAAGAAGTACTACTGCCTTGTAATTTACAATTATGGTTATAAATTTAGACGCTTTACTGAACGTGCTATATTACTTTGGAAGTATGGTTCAAGATGTTTTTTGAGGAAAAAAAATGCAATTCTACTTGTTCTAGACACTAAACAGTGTTCTTAAAAGAACTGCAAGACAAAGAGGCAGATTGTGGATTTTTCATGTTTCTTTGCCATGAAGTTCTGCTTTCTTCTTTTCTCTTTACAGTACTGGTACATCGGTTTGCCATTAGCCAAAACCCAAAATATTGTCATTAGCTTAATTCCAAGTTTAAGAGAACTCTGGCCAAGTGGCATGAAGAAAATTGAGCTATCTTCTCTCTAGGAAGAGTCCTGGATATGGAAATGTAATGTAACGCAGGCCTTAGGAATCGCGTAGGGCATCCTGGGATAGCCTGGTGTCTGACGTTAGAGACAGCTCTGTGTGAATAGATGTTGGGTCGTATTACTCTTCCAGGGTGACTTGCCTCCTCAGCCTTTGCAGAGCTCTGCTTTGTGGTGGTCTGTGAACACCTGGTGAGCTCTGCCCCTCAGCAGGCTTTCTGCAATATCTGAATGGTGGCTGCTCGCCAATGCTCAGACTCACCGACTTGCTTTGGGGGTCTCTCTTCCTACTTTTTCGTTTTTATTTCCCCTCTTTCTCTCTTTTTCTCCTTTTCTCTTTCTCTCTTACTTCTTGTGTTTAAACCAAAAAATTGGCTGACAAACCAACTTATAATAGCTATTAACTGTCAGAGCCCCGACTTGAACTAAGATCTTTATGATTTTGAAGTCCGTGCATTTAACATATTGTAACACATAGCCTTTTAAGTTATTTTGTTGTAGTAAAGTTTCCCCTTTATATCTCTAAAATGAGGCTGATCTCCATTAATCAGTGCCTCCCAGCCCTGGCTGCACATTTGAACCACCTGGGAGTTTATAAAGACTGTGCTGCCGGCATGTCACCCAGACCCTTTATATCAGAAGGGAAGGACGGCTGCAGTATTTTTTCAAGTACCTTGGTGATTATAACACCCAGCCATGGTTGAGAACTGCTGACATAAATAATAGTCATCTAGTTCTAACTTGTAAGATTCTGTGCTTACTCCATGGAGGTTAATAAGGCATTTTGGAAGTTGCATTTGTCTGCTGACTGACCCACTTTCTCCTGTTCCTAAATCACGTAGTATTCGCAAGTGATCTCGCTGACTTGCAAAGCCAGGGCCGTGCCCAGCATAGAGTCACTTATGGGTGGAGGTGAAAAGGGTGGGTACTGCCCTCCATATCTCCTTTGTACCTTTTTCTGGTATGGTCTGGCATCATGAAAAGGTCACCAGCTTGTACTAAACAGTCTTTCATGAGATCTGAAATAAATAATACAGCATTTATAAGTGGCTGTATAATTGTCTAAGGTCATAATTTAGATCCTGGGAGTATCCGGGCCATTTGAGTTGTCTTCTGTGAGCTTCATGAATGGCAGTTGAGCCCAATTAAAGTTGGGAAAGTACTGTACTTGGCCTAAGCTTATGAGACTGTTATATTGGAGAACAATCATATTTTTCTTCCCAGTTTTTTAATGCAATATCTTTTCTACTAAGTCTTCTACTAGGTCTTGACCCGGATTACATCTTCTTGTGTCTTATAGAATTTAGTAAGGGACATTGTTTTGTTTTATAATCAAAAACCGTCAACTCATAGCGACCCTATAGGACAGAGTAGAACTACCCCATACGGTTTCCAAGGAGTGGCTGGTGGATTCGAACTGCCGACCTTTTGGTTAGCAGCCATAGCTCTTAACCACTGGGCCACCAGGGCTCCTTTGGTATAATAGTAGCTGTGAATTAGCTAGGGGAAGGCATTTAGAGCATAGAATGTGTGCATGTGCATCTGGTACGGCTGTTCAGATGGGGGAGATGAGGCCTCTGAGAAGGAGGCATGTCTTGCCCATATTCATACAGTGAGTCAGTAGCAAAGGTGCAACCAGAGGGCCAGTCTCCTGACTATTAAGTGTTTTTCCATTACAGTGTGTTGATTTACATTATTGGCCAGTTAGAGAAACGAACACAGAGCGGTTAAATAATTTACCCAGGTTGCATGGGAAATCATTGGCAGAGCCGGGTAAGTTCAGTTGGTTACAGAACCCCCTTGGCCTCCGTGCTTCTGGCATGAGTAAGATTTTAATGAGACTGACTGAAAGTAATGATTATATCTGAGATGTTGGACCTGTTTGCTTACTGCCTTTAAATAAAGAAATTAAATTTTAAAAAGAAGGCTCTCTGAGATGATGTTGGTATCTATCCCATTGTCTCTGCACTTAATCCCAAATTACATATAAGGCTCTTTAAACTCTTCTAGAACTGCCTGCCCCCACCCTCACCTTTTTTGTCTTTCTTGGTACTGACTTTTTTTGAAAAGTCCTGGCCAGTTGTCCTGGAGAGTTCCACAATCTGATTTGTTCCTTTGTCCCCGGTGTTTCCTGTAAACTGGAAGTTGCTGTAAAGGCGTGATTGAGTTCAGGTTTGAGTTGTGTTTTGTTTTTGACGAGAATACGGGGTTGTGTGTATCCTTTAGCATTTATGGGTAGGTGTGTGATGCTAGCTTCCAGATAGTTAATGTAATAAATACTTGCATATTACTTTTGAGTGAAATACAGTTTATATTTATTTTAAAATATTTTACTTGGAGTCACAGTAGAATTATTCACTTTGAGTTATGACTCTTAACTATACATAGTAGATGGCCCAGTTAATTAGTTGTTGTTACTTAAAGTTGAAATGTAAGAGCAAACAGATTATAGCACTACATTTGTAGGCAAATTATAATTCTAGAAAGAAGTTTATAAATCTTCCTGATACAGAGACATAGTTTCTGTGTTAACTTTTAATAACTTAGTCTTACATCCTTGG